CACATAAAAGCAATGTTATGTACTTCTCTTTTCCATTATGTTTTAGGGCTATGAAACTATTCTGTATACTATAATGGTGGAGACAAGACATTATGCATTTGTCAGAACTTGTAGAACTTTGCAGCACAAAGAGTGAAAATGTGTGCAAATTAAAAATCAAATCATTTAGGAGGTAGACAGATCTCAGGAAAGAATGCTGACTTTGACAAGTGAATTTAAATGTATCACAAATGTATGAAATCACTTCAATAAAAGGGTTGGGGGAAAAGGTGCTGGACCAAATGACTTTGGGAATGACTGGTCTGTAAGACTGAAGGAACTGCATGTAGGCAATGTACTCTAGTTGATAAATTTGTTTCCCCTGGGGGTATGGGTTAACAATTCTGAAACTGCAATTTGAAATATGTATTTCAAAACAGAACAATTAAGTAAATGGATAGTAGATGTTAGGTGTCAGGCTTCTCACTGCCAAAGTAGAAATTACATACAGATAAGCAAGAGGAAGAGACAAGAATGGTCCATCTGATAATGGATTAGAGTTAGAGACACTAGTATGAATTCACGTTTAGCTTAATATAAATACTTGCAGAAATATTTATACATAGGTATATATACATGGGTTAGTATACAGGTATTTAATTACTTGCTGTCAGCTACCAGGTCTTAAAAGAAATGACACCCCAAGCAACAAATAGCACTTCTTGAGCCTAGATTTTGGTTTCTGACACCATTCTCCAATAAAAGGAACCATGATTTCTGAAAGAAATGGCTGATTCTAGGCCTGGGGCATGATGACCCCAGAGCATCTTATAGTATAGGAAGTAAGGATGTGCTTAAAAAATACTAACCAAACAAAAAATCATACCACATTAATAGGAGTATATTAAAAGTAAATAGGACTACGAGAGCTCCAGTGGCCAAAGCTGGGACAATTTGAACAACAAAATAAACGAGTATTAGATTAGAACTCAAAGTATAAAAGAAATATCTGTGTGTCCATACTCACATAAATAAATGTTAAAATAAAAAGGGAGAAAGGACAAATCTCCTATGCAAAAAAGAAATTCCACATATTTTGTCTACATATTCCACCAGCAAAAGGAGGAGCAGAAATCCTCACTAACTGTGGGCCACACGGTGACTTCTATCCAAGGAGGATAGCATAGAAAGAGGGGAAAATGGTAACTTTACAGTGGAAAATTTTGACAAACACTATCTCATTCAGGTGATAACGGTAAACATCACCAGTAATAAATCATGTTGATAGGATGAATCCTTGATAAATAATATGGGGCAAATTTCTAAACCTCTAGTGTCTTCTAGGATAGTAAGATCTACTGTAATGGCATTTTTCCAATGTTAAGTACAATACATGCAAAATGTCTACCACCAGCGCCTGGCCCATAATAGATACTGAAAAACAGTATCCATAATTAAGATTAAATGTTTGAAAAGTGCTCTAATTTTTTGCTTTCAAAATGATTGAGGTGTCATTGATGTAGCAATACCTCTTATTTGATAGACTTTGTTACAAATTTATAATATGGTCTTTTCTCTTTAGATCTTTGCATTGTGGAGACCTCTAATATTGAAGAGATTTGTGTACATTATTACTTTGTTATGGCTGCATTTGTTAGTAAAGGCTTGTATTTCTGCTTCTGTCTTTCCGTCTTGAGTTGGCTCAACATTGCCTCAAAAAGTATCATGCAAGAAAAGAAGTATCTGCTGGGCTAGACTTCAGAGTACTCTTAAATGCTCTGAGATTTCTGCTTACTACTACCCTATTAAAGCTGTAAAAAATAATCGGGATATCCAACTCTTATCTGTTTTTAGGATGTCTCCTCTGCTGTCAACACATTATTTCAATACCAATTTGCAGGCTTTGACACGAGTCCTTGTTAATGAGTATATAGTATTTAATGTTCAATGGAGATGGTAGATGACACTGCTAATGTTGCATTATGAAGAAACTGGAGTTAACAGAATGTTTTAAGGTATCAAAAGATTAAATGAGACAATTGTTTGCTAGACACAATTTTCCTAGGAGGTTAAAGGCATACTTTTCCTGTTTCTCAAAAAGTAATTACGAGCCAATTTGTGACAACCTGAATGTGTAGAAGAAATGGTTTTTGTTTCAAAACTAAAAAACAGGTAACTTGCGTATGCTGAATCTTGGCTTGTAGGTTTCGAAATCACTGGCAGTGGCTTATTTAAAAGCATCTTACACCCGATTTTTGCTTCTTACCTCTTTTTGTCACGCTTTCCTGTGTGAATCAGACAGACTGGACACTGCTGTTGAGGAATCAAATCTTTTGCAGTAACAGTCACAGATGCATCCTCATCATGTGCTTCTAAAGATAGCTGGCTTTGTTTTAATTTCTGATAGCCAAAGAAACAGTCATCTCAGATCACCCTGTCACAGGTTTCCTCTCTAACAACTGATATGAATAGGATGTTTTTAAGACATGGAATGAAATTGCAATCTGTATTAAATTAGGTGCTTACTTTTTTTTTTTAAAGCTAACTGTTTCTATAAGCATTCTCTTTTCCAACTATATAACTCCTTAATTTCTACAACTCTCTGAAATAGTATACCTTATTCACTTTGTTGTTTCCCTTACTAGCGAATTAACTTTTTGACCCAAGCCCAAGATGTATCCAAGAAAGTGAAGGAGGCCAGGTGTGGTGGCTCATGCCTGCAATCCCAGCACTTTGGGAGGTCAAGGCCTGAGGATCCTTAAGGCTAGGAATCCAGCGAGTAGTCTGGCAACATAGCAAGACCACATCTCTACAAAAATTTAAAAAAAGAAAAAAGGTGAAGGAAAAGACATAGCTCACAATTCTGTCATAAACTTTTCTCTAGCATACACTTTCCTCTAATATTCTAGTGGCAGTAGAAGTGATGTTGCTGTTAATTGCAAGATAACACACAATGGCCAATTTTTAAATAATTTAATGTTTCAACACCAAAGATTTTGTTTTTTAAATGGTTTTAATTAGGTCTTTTCCTTTTGGTGTCGTTTAGGCAATGGCTCATCCATTCATTTATTCACTGAAGAAATATTTATTGAGCATCTACTCTGTGCCATCTACTATTTTAGTATTTTAGGTACTAAGGAAACATCAGTGAACAAAATGCAAAAAAAAAAAAAAAAATCTGTGATCTTGTGGAGTTTACATTCTAGCAGAGGGAAGGCAAGAGAAAATAAAAATACAAAATGATGATGTCAGAAGGTAAGTACTATGAAAAAAACAGAAGCAAGGAAGGGAGGATGCTGGGGAAGGGGCAATATTTTATTTATTTATTTATTTATTTATTTATTTATTTATTTTTTGGAGACGGAGTTTCGCTCGTTACCCAGGCTGGAGTGCAATGGCGCGATCTCGGCTCACTGCAACCTCCGCCTCCTGGGTTCAGGCAATTTTCCTGCCTCAGCCTCCTGAGTCGCTGGGATTACAGGCATGCGCCACCATGCCCAGCTAATTTTTTGTAGTTTTAGTAGAGACGGGGTTTCACCATGTTGACCAGGATGGTCTCGATCTCTTGACCTCGTGATCCACCCGCCTCAGCCTCCCAAAGTGCTGGGATTACAGGCTTGAGCCACCGCGCCCGGCCGGGGCAATATTTTAAATGAGATGATTAGGGTTGGCTTCTTTGAAAAAAGATGACTTTTAAGCAAAGATTGGACGGAAGGGGATGATCTAGCCATGAGGGTATCTGGTGGAAAGATCTTTCCAGATAGAAACTATACACAGTGCAAGGGCCTCAGGGCAAGAAGATGTCTTGGTGTTATAGAAGCAGGGAGTAAGTCTGTGTAGCTGGAACTAAGTCCTCAGCAGAAATGCGGTCAGAAGGGTGAAGGTGAGGTATGACTTAGGAGGCCAGCTAGCATAGGACTTTTAGGTTGCAGAAGACTCTGGCTGAGAAATTTAGGGAGCCATTGGAAGAGGTAGTACTTTGGTTTGGTCTTAAGTCTAGACACATTTCTGAATGTTAAAGGCATATCCATGTCATATCACAGATTGGTCCAAATCTCAAGTGTCAACACTTAATTTATCACCTTTAAAATAAGTGAAATGCCATGCTTCTAGAAAACAGAAAAATGTGGTGAATAAAACTGAATACTCAAGCCAGACAAGCACATTGCAGTTTTAATTCACTATCTGGTATCTTAAATATTAATGAGCCTCCTTCTCTGTTTTCTTATTTACAGGTTGCAACAGTATCTTTTTCCAGGTTCCTCATTGTCTCTAGTATCTCTTGGTTTCCTTTGATACCTCAGTCCAGGTAGGATTTCCAAGCTAATTTTCTATTTGTGGCTTAATCTGTCAATACCAGTAACACATTTTATTGTATTGCAGAGGTCAGAATTTTGCTGGTCCAGCAATGTGGACGTGATGTACAGAATTTGGATTAAAATAACAAAAAAAAAAACTACTTTGCTTCAATAAGCTAAATTGAGTAAAATCAGTTTTTCCTGAATTTTTGCAGGACTGCTCAAATGAACCCTTTTGTTTCCTTGACACAACAGAGATAATACAAGGTTTGTAATACCCTTACTTATTGTTTTGAGAATTTAAGAGTAATGTATTAAGTAAATTTCATTTAGCACAATAGTACTATTGTTAAATGGAGGGAAAAGATTCTAGCAAAGCGGAAGAAACTCCTGGCTTTAGTTTTCCAAAATGCTTTTGTACCTCTTGTAAGAATGAGATGGCTGTAATCCCAGCACTTTGGGAGGCCGAGGCGGGTGGATCACGAGGTCAAGAGATAGAGACCATCCTGGTCAACAAGGTGAAACCCCGTCTCTACTAAAAATACAAAACATTAGCTGGGCATGGTGGTGCGTGCCTGCAATCCCAGCTACTCAGGAGGCTGAGGCAG